TGTGTAGATAGTGTCCAGTCAGTCACCTAAACTGTTAATCTGTAGAAATCAATAATCCATGTAATTTGGCCTAAAAACTGTCCTATACATGTGTACTTTCTTTTTCTCAACAGTATTTTAAATTTTATACCATTGGCTAAATTGGCTGTAATATCAATAGAACTACCATATGCCATGCCTCGTGGGGATAATTTATAATGTCCTTTAACAAAATAATAATGATGTCTTTAAAGTGAATCAGGGACCATGTGTAAACCATACCAGTTGTAGTCTTGATCTAAGAGCAATTAGTTCTTATGGCATGACTTTACTCAATACCTGAAGTGATCCCTGAAGATATGGATGCTATAATAACGTGAGGTAAAGAAAGCAGATGATGCCTGGCTATCAGAAAGAACAGCGTCTGGGGTCTCAAAGGCTTGTCTTTAAAAGAAACAGTCATTTACAGGAGGCTTCAATGGAGACGCACACCAGCCTCTGTGATCGAAGAACTGTAAATAATAGAAGCCTAATCTGGAGGAGGAATTGGTATTAGAGCTTAAATTATTAGTACCCGATCTGTAGAAGGCTATGGCTGACAGTGAAATCCCCAAACCTTTTTCAGCGTCCCCCTCTGGTGAATGCCCTCTGATTATGGACCAGGGATAGAAGAGACCTTGTTATCTGGCAGCGTACATCGTAGGGTGAATTATTCCAGTTGTAATTAGGTCAAAGCGTGACATCTTGTCATTTTAGCTCCTTCTAGATCCAATGTATAATTGTTCCAATTTTTAATATTGTCTGCTTTGTTTTGGATTGAAGGTTTAATCTATGTCATTCAGTTGATGTTGGGCTTTTGTGTTTTGATTTAAATTTGTATGTTTTTCTGTATATGAAACCAAGGATAAGTAAACCTATAGAGACAACTGGATGAATAGTTTCAAAGGGATATAGCAGGGGAGGTGGGCAGGAAATGGAGAGCAACCATCGAGTATAAGAAAGGAAAAATATCCTGGAATTGGTTACACAACTCTTATGAATGTAGTTGAGCTCTTGAAGTGTATGATATGTGAATTATTATGTCTATGAAACGGTTAAAAATAAATAAAATAATTAATTAAAAAAACTTTTCTAAACCCTCTGAAAATAAAGGGAAATATAATAGAGTTGACTACGTAAAAATGTGACTTTTCTAAGTATCAAAAATAAAATCAAATAGGAAAAATTGGTCCAACATAGATGATACAAGTTGATAACTTGACTGTGCACAGATCTGTTAAAAAAGATAATAAAATACACCCATCAATAAATGAATAAAGGAAATGATAAAAGAATGTTTTGAAGAATTAATATTGAACATGAAAAGATATAGAAACTAAGAAATAAAAAACTAAATGTAGCTTGTGAATTGATATGCTTTGCCTCAACAACAGCAACAACAAAAAATAAAAATGTTAAATCAATGCCAATTAATACAGTGAAATTCTATCTAACACGTATGATTAACAGCTTAGAAAATTAAAGCACCTACACCTGGGAGATAAAAGGACACCCATGTAACCTGATAATAATATTACCTTTCAACTCACAACAGTTTGCAAAGCCCATGACACCTTCAGATCCTTTGACTGAGAAATTTTGTTTTCAGAAATTTGTCCTAGGGAACTCACTGATGATTTGTGTAAAGATTTTGAAACAAAAATTTTATTTTTTAATATAAACTATTTCCCAAAAAACGTATAATGAGCATTTATTATATTAATAATAAGAGAAAATATATGAAACTATTTTCTTTAATTAGGAATTTTGTAAACCAAAGGTAGATTTTGAATGGTAAAGTAGCACTTTTGTCATCTAGCATCTTTAATTCTTCAGAAATATCTGGTGGCAGGAATCAAGACTTATAAAAACACTTTCTTTTTTCTTCTCTATGATCATGAGAACTCTCTAGAGAATTTACTCAGACTTTATTTACTCTTCTTTTAGACAGAATTTAAGCAATCTAAGTGATCTGCTGCAGTCGATTGGAACCAAGTACTTGGTGCCAGCAGAGAATGGTGGTGGGGGCTTGATAACAGAGAGACAAAGTAAATAAATTATGTAGACAACAGCTGTGTTAGGCTGGGTTAACTAAAGAAACAAACCCAGTGACACTCATATATATGTGTGAGAGAGAGTTTTGTATCAAGAAGTAATTATGTATCAATGAAACATCCAGCCCCATGCAACTCAAGTCCACAAGCCTGAAACTAGTCCATAAGTCCCTCTTCAAACTAACACAGCCATGTGCAATGATACAGAATGCAGGAAGATCACAGGCCAGTGGGTGCAAAGTCTTGTGGATCCAATGGGAATGGAAGGATCTCCAGGGCTCTCACAGGTTTCAGAGTGGTGGCTCTTCAATAGGAAGGTGAAAGCAGAAAGAGAGAGGGGAGGTTCTCAGGATCCTCCGTATGAGAAGGCCATGCCCACTAGGAAGTACCCTCAGGCTGTGACCTGATTGGCAGGCTAGACTTCACCCCTACACTTATATATTTTCAAGTTGACACGAAATTATGTAACTACCTGTGTTAGACTGGGTTGACTAGAGAAACAAATCAAGAGACATTCATATATGTATAAGAATGAGCTTTATCAAAAGGAAATAGAGGAAAGAACTAGGAGGCAAAGGACATTTATAGAGGTCTAAATACAGGCATATACATATGTAAATATATTTATATATAATGATAGGAAATAGATCTATGTGCTTATATTTATATGTTAAGTATTAAGGTAGCAGATGGACATTGGGCCTTGACTCAAGTACTCCCTCAACACAAGAACACTTTGTTCTAACGATGTGGCATTCTGCGATGCTCACCTTCCTGACATGATCTCTGAAGACAAAATGGGTGCATAAACAAATGTGGGGAAGAAAGCTGATGGTGCCCGGCTATCAAAAAATATAGCATCTGGAGTCTTAAAGGCTTGAAGATAAACAAGCAGCCATCTAGCTGAGAGGCAACAAAGTCCACATGGAAGAAGCACAGCAGCCTGTGTGATCATGAGGTGTCGATGGGATCAGGTATCAGACATCTAAGACCCAGGACAAAATCATACCAATGTTAATGGTGTGTGTGTATGGGGTGGGGTGAGGGTGGGGGAAAATGGAGTGGAGACACAAAGCCCATCTGTAGACAATTGGACATCCCCTTACAGAAGGATCACAAGAACAAGACGAGCCAGTCAGGGTGCAGTATAGCACCAATGAAACATACAGCTTTCCTCTAGTTCTTTAATTCTTCCTCCTCCTCCACTACCATGACCTCAATTCTACCTTATAAATCTGAGAAGACCAGAACATGTACACTGCTACAGATAAGAGCCCACAACACAGGGAATCCAGGACAGACAAACCCCTCAGGATCAACAATGAGAATAGAGATACCAGGAGGATAAGGGGAAGGTGGGGGAAGAAAGGAGGAATCGATCACAAGGATCGATCTATAACCCACTCCCAGGAGGGCGAACAACAGAAAAGTGGGTGAAGGGAGACAGAGGATGATGTAATATATGAAAATAATAATCTATAATTTATCCAGGGTTCATGTGAAGGGAGGGGAGGGGAGGGAGGGAAAAATGAGGAGCTGATATCAAGGGCTCAAGTAGAAAATGTTTTGAATGATGATGGCAAATGTGTTTGACACATCGGATGAATGTATGGATTGTGATAAGAGCTATAAGAGCCCTTAATAAAAGTATTTAATAAAAAAAGAGAAAGAGCTTTATATCAAAGAGTAATTGTATATTAAGAAAACATCCCAGCTAGTCCAGATTAAGACCATAAATCTGATATTAAGCCCTAAGTACAATATCAGTCAATAAATCCCTCTTCAAATGCACGCAGCACATGCAATGATGCAAAATGCAAGAAGATCACAGGCCAGTGGGCACAAAGTCTTGTGGATCCAGTGGCGGTGGAAGCATCTCCAGGTATCTTGCAGATCTCAGTGTGGTTCTACAAGGCTTGTCAAAAAGAAGGTGAAAGCAGAGGGGAGGAGGGTGGGGGTCTCCAGTGAGCCATTTATCTCTGTTGCTCGCCAATCAATCTGTGATCTGATTGATAGGCTAAACTCCACCCACATATTCCTATGAGAGCCATGTTGACACTAAAAAACTCTCACATTACCACAACAGCCAAGGCATAGACACACAATTTCACAAAACATAGTTGTTTTAGGCCACGTACAGTAGAGATGGGAGTCCCTTTTGGGTGCTCACTGAAAGGTTGGAGACTCCAGTCCAACCAGGGGTGCCCTAGAAGAAAAGACTGCAATGTACTTCTGGAAAAAACAAATAAAAAGGTTTGTTGAAAATACTGTGGAACATAGTTCTACTCTGACACCAACCTGCTCCCTGTGAGGTAGAATCAACTGGATGGTGACATTGTCTCCAAACTAAGCCCACTGCCATCGAGGCAATCCCAAGTCATAGAGACCCTATGTAGGGTTTCCAAGAAGGTAAAATTGATGGGAACAGACAGACACATCTTTCTTCCCTGGAGGGACTGGCAGGTCTGAAGCACTGACGTTGGTGCCATTGAAGCTCCTTGTTGACTGGTGAATTAGAGGAAAATATCCTTTAACTTGAAATCCTTAGAAAGACATGAGTCACCTAGGAAAAAAGGCAAAACATTCCATTTTCCATGTTTCAAATGTAAGAGGGACTGTAATGCACATGAAGATTTATATCCAAGATGGCTTAAATAGAGCAAAATTTGACGCCCAAATATGGTAAGCTTGAATCATCTGGAAGAATGCCTGAGTGAAGAGATGTGTAGATCGCACCGTGGAGGTGTCAGGTGAATTCTGCAGCTGTAGGGTTGGTCTTGAATTAGAAGAAACATGAACGAATGAGGTGACTTCCCGGAGAGAGGCAAGTAGGGTCTGGTCTTGTGGGATTCTGGTAAACTCTTTCAGCCTTTCTGTGGCTCAGCTCATTAAGTGATATATGTTGTGGTCCTTTTTCTCTGTCTCCAGGACTGCCCCCCGGATGCAGAGGACTTCAGAGCTCAGCAGTGTTCTGCCTACAATGATGTCCAGTATCAGGGCCGCTATTATGAATGGCTTCCTCGGTATAATGACCCAGCTGCCCCTTGTGCACTCAAGTGTCATGCTCGGGGACAAAACTTGGTAGTGGAATTGGCCCCCAAAGTACTGGATGGCACTCGTTGCAATGCAGACTCCCTGGACATGTGTATCAGTGGCATCTGTCAGGTAAGCCACACCTGCTTCCTGTTGCCATGCCCATTCTTAATAAAGAATGCTTTTCTTCTATGCTTTTGCTCATGATGAACTATTGTCTTAGATAATTATAATATAAAAAGAGTTTTAGAGAATATCTCTGAACTTCATGAATGGTGGTTCAGTTATTTAAAACCAGGCACCTGTATCTCTCCGTGGCATAGGAGATCAGTACTTGGTTGGTAAATATGAGGTTGACACTTTGTGCCCACCTGGTGGAGCTGTGGAAGAAATGCCTGGTGATCTGCATTTGTAAAGATGACGTGGATCGGCTCTATCCTGTACTACCTGTGTCTCCATGAGTCCTCATGGACTCAAAGGCAATGGTACGGACGCATTTTGTCTGTATCAACTGAAAAGATGGCGTGCATGGCTTCCTGTGGTTCCTTGAGACATCTTGAACGTGCACAAGCCTTGTTATAAACAGAATTCTGGGCCCCACCCCCAAGCTTTCGGATTCAGTAGGGCTGAGATAAGGTCAAGTATTGCATTTCTAACACCTTCCCTACTTTCGCCAGTGCTTGTGGCCCACGCCCTGTACTTGGAGAACCATTTCTCTGAAAGGGTAATACTGTTAATAATAATGCTTCTGTGAGATTCCATTAAATTTAACTTAGCTTTGGGCCTCTGAGAAAGATTACTGATTATTTACTGAAAAGTTAGTATGAGTACATCCCAGCAGATTTGTCAGAGTTCATTTCTGGAGGTCTGATGAGTATTCAGGAGGCATAAATCCCAGTGTCCTGTAATGGGTCTGGGCAATTAAGAGGAATTAGGACAGGTGCTGAAGAGTGTGGGCATGGGAGGAAAAGGACAGGATTGCATTTCCACTCTTCATTGCTGAAAGAAATGTCAGTAATAAATATTCAGTTATTCTACCAAGGCTATTCTTACATCCATTAGCAACCCAACCACCTACTAGCACGTAGTTCCACCAGGAACTACCAGATGTTTCCAACTTAACATGCTCAGAAGTACACCTGGATTTTATTCCTCAAACAGGTTTCTCCTTCCTCCAACCCTACTCTAGGCAATGGGCCGTAGGGTACCTGATCTCTTTGAATCATTCTTGATTCTTCTCTCTCGGTGGACCCATCACATCCATTGCCAAGTCCTCGCAATCATTTCCCTAGAGTTGATTTTGACCCCACCACTTCTTTCCACCTCCATTGACTTCTCTCCTAATCTGAGCCCCCCCACCATACTTGTCTAGACTATAGTTATGGCCACCTGTCTGATGTCTCAGTTTTCACCATTGTCCCCTGAAACCTGTTCTTCACACAGCAACCAAAGTGATTGTATACTACTTATCATGCTCCATCTCAGAACCACCGCGAGTGGCTCATTGTGATCTTGATGGTGAAATCCAAAGTCCTGCCTGCCTTTTCAGGCGCTTCTTGTTCTCTTCCCTCTTGGAACTGCTTTGCCCTCTCTGCCAAAATGCCAGACTCTTTCCTGCTGCCAAGCCCTACACGTGCTGCTTATACTTCTTTGTATTCATGCTTGTGGCTGCCCTTGTTAATCTTTAATGTAGAAGTTTCACATCATTAATGTGAAAGTCTTTTTTGATATCTTCACCTAAGTTAGATTTCCTGGTTCTATTGCAGTACCCTTATATTGTGCTTGTAGGAGCCCTGGTAGTGTAGTGGTTATGCACTGGGCTGCGGTCCCCATGGTTGGCAGTTCAATACCACCAGCAGCTCTGTGGGAGAAAGAGGAGGCTTTTTAGACTCCTGTCAACAGTTACAGCCTCGGAAACCCATAGGGGAGTCTCTATGCGTCAGCAGTGAGTTTTGTATACATACATATGCAAAATGCTTGTAACATTTTATATATTTGTGTGATTATTTGATTTATGACTGCCTTCCACACAAGATTTTCAATCCTCTGAGGGCTGGGATTGTGAATGTGGTACTCGCCGCGGAATCCCAGCACCTCTGTGGTACCTGGTCTCATCGACATTCCTTAGTGAACACTGGCTGAACAAATGAATCTTACCTACCTGTAAATGCAGATGCTATTTAGTTCTCCTGGTGCTTCCTGCTCTTGCAACTTCCACTTCTGAGTTTTCCAAGGCATGCTTGGCATCACCTCTAGGGGACCCCATGGACCTTCCAATTCAGCCTGTCTGCTAGATAAACTGGATACCGTCTTCCTCAGATCCATTCCTTCTTCCATATTGGATTCCTATTCATTGCTCTTTATGAGCCCACAGTTCCCAGTGCCACTTTCCTGAATCACATGCGTGTTACAGTCTGCTCATGTGTGCTCGCTGTCCAGGTCCCTTTGTCAGGCCTTTCACATTCCAGTCTTCTTTTCTCTCTCACTGACATCTTTCTTTTTTTTTTTTTTAGTTTTTATTTTTTTATTATTATTATTTTTAACATTTTATTAGGGGCTCATACAACTGTTATCCCAATCCATACACACATCAATTGTGTAA